GCTTTTTATGGGGTGTTTTTTGGCATCTTTTAGGAGTTTCGGGATCTTTTTGGGGTTCCAGTGTCCACTCACCCCCGTGCCCTCCTGGATGTCCCTCTGGTGACCATCTCCAGAAGGTTCTCCAGGACCACTTACCCCATGAATTTTTGGGTTTTTTCATGGGTTTTTTTTTGGCATATTTTAGTTTTGGGATCTTTTTGGGGCTCCCCAAGATTTCAGTGTCCACTCACCCCCGTCCCCTCCTGGATGTCCCTCTGGTGACCATCTCCAGAAGGTTCTCCAGCACCATTTAACCCATGAATTTCTGGGGTATTTTTTGGGATCTTTTAGTAGTTTTAGGATCTTTTTGGGGCTCCCCAAGCTTTGCGTGTCCACTCACCCCCGTGCCCTCCTGGATGTCCCTCCAGATGGCACCTCTGGTGACCATCTCCAGAAGGTTCTCCAGATTTGGGGTTAGAGATGGTTTTGGGGTTCAGGATTTGGGGAGGATTTGGGGTTAGAGATGGTTTTGGGGTTCAGGATTTGGGGAGGATTTGGGGTTAGAGATGGTTTTGGGGTTCAGGATTTCGGGAGGATTTGGGGTTCGAGATGGTTTTGGGATGGAGGATTTGGGGGATTTTGTTAGAGAAGGTTTTGGGGTCAGGGATTTGGGTTAGAGATGGTTTTGGCATGGAGGAATTGGGGGATTTGGGGTCACGGATTTGGGACAAGAGATGGTTTTGGGGTCATGGATTTGGGGTTAGAGATGGTTTTGGGGTCATGGGTTTGGGGTCAGGGATGGTTTTAGGATGGGGAATTTGGGATTAGAGACCCTTTTTGGGCTGAGGATTTGGTGTTAGAAACTGTTTTGGTGTTGGAGATTTTGAGAATTTGAGGAGGAGAATTTGGGGTTAGAGATGTGTTTGGGATGGGACATTTGGGGCATTTGGGCCACCGGGGTCACCGGAGGGGCCGTAGAGCTCGGGCTGGATCTGGCCAAGGTGGGCCGGGGGCTCCTCGGGGACGGGGGGCAGCGACGAGCTGGGAGAGAGGGATTTGGGGTTAGAGATGGTTTTGGGGTTCAGGATTTGGGGTTAGAGATGGTTTTGGGGTTCAGGATTTGGGGAGGATTTGGGGTTAGAGATGGTTTTGGGATGGAGGATTTGGGGGATTTTGTTAGAGAAGGTTTTGGGGTCAGGGATTTGGGTTAGAGATGGTTTTGGCATGGAGGATTTGGGGGACTTGGGGTCACGGATTTGGGACAAGAGATGGTTTTGGGGTTCAGGATTTGGGGTTCAGGATGGTTTTGGGATGGGGGATTTGGGGTCATGGATTTGGGGTTAGAGATGGTTTTGGGGTCATGGGTTTGGGGTCAGGGATGGTTTTAGGATGGGAGATTTGGGATTAGAGACCCTTTTGGGGCTGAGGATTTGGGGTCAGTGGTGGTTTTGGGGTTCAGGATTTGGGGTTCAGGATGGTTTTGGGATGGGGGATTTGGGGTTCGAGATGGTTTTGGGATGGAGGATTTGGGGTTAGAGAAGACTTTGAGGTCACGGGTTTGGAGTTAGTGATGGTTTTGGGGTCACAGATTTGGGGTTCAGGATAGTTTTGGGATGGGGAATTTGGGGTTCGAGATGGTTTTGGGGTCATGGATTTGGGGTCAGGGATTTGGGTTAGAGATGGTTTTGGCATGGAGGATTTGGGGGATTTGGGGTCACGGATTTGGAACAAGAGATGGTTTTGGGGTCATGGAT